AGACATTGATTGGGTTCAAGCAAAGATTTGAATACAGTACTACCCTAGGTTGTGTGGGTCAAAAGGGTCCCCAACTGATCCCCCAAACAAGTCTGCTCTATTTATCCTTGTTCAAAGATTATAATGAGAAATCTAACCTGCAATTGCTTTGAGCAATGTCTAGGGAGATGAATCAAGATGAAGGTTGACAAAAAAAAAACCCAGTCCCTTGACTCAACCCCTCACTGAGGACCCTAAGCCTTTGCACCAGAGTGGGTAAAATGTTCAGGAGCTAGAGAAGTTTCTGGACTCCTTGACATGGGAGCCTCACAGACTGTGGTACCAAAACCCATTTGTGAAGCCCTGGTTTGGGCCAGAATTAGATGGAGAGAACATCAAGGTTGCTCTCCCAACAAAAGGTTTGATGGGATTACGAATGTGGGGATGTTTAAGCAGGCCTGTTCAAATCATTTGTGTCTTTTTTACCTGAATGTTTCATGGGAATGGATATTCTGTTGGTCAGAAGAATGCCTACTGTACCAAGTGCTGTAAAACCAAAAATTTGTAATAAAGTCAGAAAGGAGGCTGGGGGGGGGGATAATCAGAAAGCTACTGTACAGCAAGCCTCCACTATGACCACGAGTAGGCACAGAGAAACATGGAGGAAAGAAAACAGATAGAGCCCAAGGTTGATATCAAACCAGCACCAGAAAGCGCAAGTCCACCTCAGTGTGACATACCTAAGTGGTCTGGCTGTTCAGAGCACAGGCCACAGTGCACATGATGTGAAGGGTCCTTCTTTAAAAAGGTCTACTTTCCAGAGGACAAGATGGCAAAGAGGACAGAGTCAGCTGATGGCTCAGTGAATTTGATGCTTCAAACACACCTTTGGCTGGCCATCACAGAGGCAATGCTCTAAGGATGGGATGCCATCCTCCAGGATTAAGGGTGCATTTTTGATTCCAGTACTTGTATACGGCACTGTGACAGTAATCAGAGGAATGCCTGGAACCAAGGGGCACAAGCAGGAGTAGCTCCACTTGCCATCACTCCCCCAAAGCCACTCGAACATGTGCTCTCCATTCATGCACCTGTAGGGACCGGGAGCTCTCCTCCTGCAGAGCCCAGGTGAATACTCCTCCGAGGAGACATTTGGGGTTCCTTATATCTAGGAACCAGTAGTCAAGAAGAGTCACAATCTTGTCATAGGAATTTGACTGATCAGCAAGAAAATGTAGGGCTATTGCTCTTGCTTAAACTGTGTGGACGGCACAGACCCAGGGATGGCCCTTCTTCCAGCCTCCAACCACCCTCCAACCTCTTTTCCAGTCACCACCTTCAGAAACACCACAGCTATCCTCAACCTCTGAGACCAGCCAATACTGTTTTTCTCCTTAGCTTCTTATTGTGGGACAACAATGAGATCCTAAATTCTCCAGAATTATTCCACCAAGGTGGAGGCTGCTGTCAACTGCCTAGTTAACCTGCATCTGTGGGTCTCCTACCTGTCTCTGGGCTTCTAGTTAGGCCTCAACTATGTGGCTCTGGAGGGTGTTGGCTGAGGACAAGTACAAGGGAGCAAGGTGTCTTTTAAAGAAGCAAAATCAGCAAGCGGACACACCCTCCTCCAGGACAGGCAGAAGCCCTCCTAAGAGGAGTGTGGTAAAACCCAAGATGCCATGGAAGCCACTGTAGTCCTAGAGAAGGACCTGACCCTTGGATCCACGTGCCCTGGTTCTCCTCACATAGACCCTCAGCTCTGTGACTTCCTGGAGAGCCACTTCCTGGGTGAGCAGGTGAAACTCATCAAGAAGATGAGGGTGACATCCGATCCACCTCCGCAGGCTAGCCAGCCCCCAGGGCAGAAATCTCCCATGTCCAGCTGTCCCAAACACTGTGGGTCCCCTTTTCCCCTTGTCCTTCTGGCATGGACAAGGATTTCAGGGATCACTAGGCCCTAACTTATGTCTTGAGAGAAACATCTGGTTGACGGACCATACCTGCAGGTTTCAGAATGAGTCAACACAGTGGCCAATGCTGGAAATTGGGAGGAGCGTGGGGGAGTGTTTTTGTACAAGTAACTATACTTTTTTAAGTTTGAGAATTCAAGTCTCCATCAATTTCCTGAGTGTTGTCACAAGTTATTCAAGGACACGGCTATTAGTAACGAGGTGGTTATGGTTCAGAGCAGTCAATTGGTGCCACTTCTTGGGATCCATGTCACAGTGGCATCAATAGGTCACATGTGTATCCCACTCAGCATCTGCCCAGCTGGCCTACTCACTGGGCAGGGGCAGGGGCATGGGCTCTGGGATGGGCACCTTGCTCATCAGCATGATCTATGAAGAGTATCCCGACCACATCAGGACCACCCACAATGTGGTTATCTTCACCCAAAGTGTTCGACACTGTGTCTGGAGCCCTACAGCACCACCCTCTCTGTCCATCAGTTGGTGGAGAATATGTGCATT